GGACAAAGTTTCCGGCACCAAATTTTTTTGGTGTCAAAATTATTTTTTTTACAGACATCTGTATAATTTAGTAAAGGTATTCAAAAAAAGACCACTATGAATAGTTGGTGAGAAATATTTCCAATTGAGATGTATTATATATATATATGTAATGGTTTAATACAAGTTTGTTGGAGAAATTCCAAATGCTTTCGCGTTTCCCATAATTAACATTTTCACCTGGATTTTGGTGGATGAAAATGTTCGATGCTGCGCGTATTTTAAGAGGGGTGGGTGGGAGTGAGTGAGATTCGGCAAAAGCCCAAACATTTCGTAGAGAGTAATCGAGGCTGTTTTACTCTCGAGTCAGCGAAATCTAATTAGTCATACAGTTGCGGTTCTCTCGTTCATTCTCTCGTTAACGGTTTTGGAATTCAATGGTGGCGGCAAAAGGTATAAACGCATAATCTGGACTAACGTGATTATCGCGGAAACATCTGTAAACTCTTCGGGAGTACAACGATAATTGAATGTTACACGGTTGCGTTTCTACAGTGTTGTTGGGATAAACCTTTTGCGGGCACGATGCGCGCTTATAACGCGCATTACGCATAATTAATCCACCGATGTTATCATCGCATTAACTTTTCTATATATATATATATATGTATTTATATATATTTACATGTATTTATACGTATTTACATGTATTTATACGTATTTGCATGTATTTATACGTATTTACATGTATTTATACGTATTTACATGTATTCATACGTATTTACATGTATTTGTATGTATTTATATGTATTTACATGTATCCGTGCAGAAATCGCGCGAATTATATCTCCGTTACCATTATCCCTTCAACGAATTTTTACAATCGTGAAGAATCCACGCGCTCCATGGCCAGATGCGATCAGTTTGATAATAACTGTGATTGCCATCTTTAAGAAGTAGTAGTGGCTTCTTTAAAAAAAAAAAAAAAAAATTCTAGAATCCGAACTTGGGAACCGCCACTTTTTCACAAGGAAACGAGAAATTACGCCTAATGAAGCGTGGAGCAATGCACCTTACGTTTTTTCCATTCTCGTTTCTTCACGCTGCTTTTTCTCCTCCTCCTCCTTTAATTCTTCTTTCGTTCATTTCTTGTTCCTTGTATGATTATAAGTTTTCGTTTTCTTTTTTTTTCGTTTAAAGTAAAATTTGTTGATTTATGAAAGTTCAGTGTGAAATAACTGCTTACTTTATTGCCTAACAATTTACAGAGAATTTTTAGGTCCCCAATAGCTGCGATCGTTAAGCGCTGGACTTTATTTTAGTCATACGCTTTCGGGTTCGATTCCCCCTGTGGTTGAAATTTTTTCGTATTTGAATTTTCCAAAAATTCTCACTTTAGGTTCAATTGTAGTTATTGGCCAACTGATTTTATAGTGTACTGTTAATTATTTTGTGTTTATTATTACTATTTAAAAAAAAATGTATTAGGATAACACATTTATCAAAAGTTTCGGTAACAAATATATAGGAATTTCAATTGCTCGGTGAAAATACGATGTTTGGCATGTGCTTTATTACATTCCGTGTTACATATATATATATATATATATATATATATATATATATATGAAATTGTAGACGTACATAATATTATACAATTTAGCGCAATTCAATCATCATTAGTTACAAATAACTTATGGTCGGGGAATTTTCATTTAAAATAATATCTACAATTGTAGATGAAAATTATAATTAACTATCATAGAAGAATTAAATTTTTTTTTTGTCATTTTAATAAAAAAAAAGACCGTTTTTTTGAAAATTAAAGTTTCTGTATTATCATAAGGATATTCATTTTTTAATATTTACTATTTTCTTTTAAAATTATTGAATATTTTTGCAATTAATTTTTGTAATTTTCTCCCTAATTGTAAATTATTTATATACAGCTTTGTTTATTTTTTGATATAAAATGTATTTTACATTTATAAACATTTTTAATTAGTATACTCGTTTTCAGAACAATTTATTTGTTTGTTAATTTTTTTTTACCTGGTATATTTATGTTTATTTATTTATATTTTATTTAAATTAAACGAAATATTTGATAAAATATACAAATTCCAATAAAAGTTTTGTTTGCTTTATGCAATTTATTCACATGGAACGTAGTTTAATGAAAAAAAAAAAAAAAAAAAATATGTTTAAAGTAAACAAATTGTATTGTTTATTGTTTGGTAAACAATATGTTCACATTCTTCTGTTTATTCGAAAAAATATTAATAAACACATGAAAATTATTAACCCTTACATTTTTTCAAAAAAATAACCACAAGTACAGGAGTATTGAAAAATATGTTCAAAATACAGAAAAAACTAAAAGCAAATAGGGTACCACCACCCCTGAAAGGGTTAATATAACATTTTTTTTTTATCTTCTAAATATGAAAAAAAAAACTTTTTTTAAATTCTTAATACAAAGAAATATTTTTTATATAAAAAATTATATTTTTTTTTATGTAAAAATTTTTTTGTTTTTGTTTTATTATAAGGATTCTATCTTTTTTAAATTGTCCTATAAAAGCAGTCGTAGAAGGATGATTTGGTTTTCGAAATTGGCCAAGTATCCGTATTTGACTAGTGAATTGATCGGAGGAAGCAATTACTTTTTCAGCATTGGCTTTTCGCGAAAGGGGGGGGGGGTAGGGGGATTGTAGGGTTTCACAGAGGGAGGAGGATGAAATAAATTGACAATGGCAGTGAACTCGCTGAATATACAATAAATCAGTGTGCCTCTGATTTTCCATTTAATCTGTATTCTTTCAAATATTACATTTATTTTCATAATTAAATTAGAGCTCTTGGAAATTTAAATTTTATTGAATCATTGTCGACATTGTTATAAACGTATGTGTGAGTGTGTGTGTGTTTTATACTCCAAATACTAATCTAGATTTTATTTTAAAATTTTTGTATCGTTAAATGAATTTAGTATAAGGAAAAATATATATTTTTCCAGAAATGATAATTAAATTGCATAGAATAATTTTTAAAAAAATATTTGATTTTTTGCATGGAAAGGGTAGTTCTTTTTTTATTGTCAAATTTATTTCACCGAAATAAGGTGAAGTGTTATCGTTGGTTGGTTTTTTGGCTGAGATCGACAATTCAATGGGTATGGAATCACAGTGGAATTAAGTATCGTAACAACGAATTCAATGTGAGAGTGGGTGGAATGTTTTCATTCCGGGTTCTATTGTGTAAACGCGTAAACGTTGAAATGCTGATGTGAAATTGTTTTTCTTTTTTGGGGTTCGTTAACCCACATTCATGTTCAGTTCCCGATCATTCAGGTACTGCATCCACTATATTTTTTGGCCTTTTTTGTCTCTCTCTCTCTCTCTCTTTTTTTCTCTCTCTCGCTCTCTCCTTTCTCCAAACTCTCGAATCATCTCTTCCATAGTTTATTTTGTTCGACTCGCGGATTTTGCCGATTTATCCTGTTTACTAACAATAGAATGCATTTTCCTTCCATGTCTGTGAATTCTATGATTTCTCATGGAACAGTGAACTCTGTTTCCCCCTCTTTCTTTTTGTGTATTTATATATATTTATATTGTTTTCGTGCGTTCATCAGAAAAAAGTTTCTCCGCTATAATTAACTTTATTTTTCACGTTAAGCGGTGAAAAAATAAGTACAAAATAATATGCCTCTTTAAAAATGATAATATAATAGCTTTAGGCTGTTGTTTTTCATTTAAAAAAAAAACTGAATTTTTCAATTGTTTCGACAAGGAAAACTTGGCAGTAGATATATTTTAGAAAACAACCCAGTGAAATAACCCAGAATATAGTTGGATGTTTACCTAGTCTAAGGGAAAAACAGTTTTCACGTTCTCTTTGCTCATTGTAATTAACTTTATGAAGACTCTGTCGAATATAGCTTCATTATATACTACCTCCTCTTCCCCCACCCCCCTTCTTTTAATCCTTGGAAAATGAACCACTCTGTTTGGAAATTTCATAATTAATTTTTTGTTAATTAAAAACTTTGAATAATTGACGAATTATTTTTTTTTCCGCATTTTAGCGAATAATAATAATAATAATAATAATAATAATAATAACATTAAAAATAATAGTAATATTAATATTAACAATTATAGTAATATTAATAACAATATCGATAGTACTTTGATACAAAAACAATTTCGAAATTATTCTTTGTTCTCTCAATGTATATATATATTGAATAATATATATCGTTACCAAATCTATTAAACTAATTTACATGTAAATTGGATGGGTTAAGTAGGACTTTATACAAAGTTCCTGAATTCGATGGTAATTAGTGATTAATTTCAAAAGTTTCGAGAATTTCGAAAAGTACGCTTATAATTATTAGGATCCGATTATTATTATTATTATTTTAATTATTTGCAGCGGGGAAATTTTGTAGTCAAGTGTATTTTAATTGTTGACTATTTTTGGAGATTAATTTTCAAAATTATTATTTATTAATTGACAATCTCTTATATATATATATATGTATAAAAAAAACTGTATACATATGTATATATATATAATTACAAGGAAAATTTACAGAATACGTTCAAATTGAAGAAATTGAATATTTATATGCTGTAAGACCGGTTTTAGAATCTCGTGACACAAAAGTGCTTAAAGTGCAATTTACTTTCGTGAACTTTATGTAAATGTGATTTAGTTTGTTCACTCGTCGTCGACGACGAAGAGAAGTAGACGCGCGCTATTTTCCATAGTTGAAAACAAAATTTTGAAACAAATAGAGAGGATTTTGGAGAAAAAAAAAACATTTTTTTTCATCAATATTAAATGTAAAAGAATTTTCAAAACTTTTTTTTTTCAATTTTATATTGTAATTTAGATTCTTTTCTTTTGTATCTTTATATAGGAATGTAAAAAAGATTTTATTATTGTTTGACTATTTTAATTTTTTTTGTCTCTTTGGATACTAATGAAGAATTAATTTCTAATTTCAGGCGTAGTTGGAGCTCGGAGCCTTGTCATGGAGTGCCGAAAGGGTCGACGGAAAGGCATTCTGAGTAGTTTGCTTTTCGTATGGCTGTTGACCAGCGGTTGCACCGTCGCCGCACGAAGCATGGGTAAGTTTATTTATATAACTCATTTTTTACACTTTTAATTTCAATTTATTAAAATTTGACTTTTTTACTCTTTATAATTTGAAAACCAAAAAAATAATAAGAGCTACGTCGAGAGAAATTTTCTATTTGCGTTTAGTTGGCACAAATAAAATTTATTTGGCTCTAAGAGAGATATGTATGCTCTCTGTTTATAGGGTTAGTAATTAGGAAATTAAGCCCTTTTCGACAAGATTGAAAATTGCGGCTGAAAAATCAAATTTGTCAATTGCTTTTGAAGTGACGAAAGAGAGATAAATCATTCAACATGTACTCGTTTCGCACTCTTATAAAAGGAGGGTTATAACAGAGTCCCATGGGAATAGGGCCATTTGTATATATAGCAAGAGGAATTCGCAACGACTTTTGAAACATTTATTGAAAAGCAAACATAGTAGTGCGTTGTTTAATAAAAGAGGATGTAAAGTAGCGTATATAGATATCGAAAAAGGGGATGGAACCCCTTGCTGATTGCGGAATTATCAACGTAGAGTGCGGTTACGTAAAACGCAGTGATCCCAAACGCTGGCGCCTTGAGTCCCCTTTTGGATGCTGTGTGTGTGTGAGAGATGATACACGGGGGCAAGAGCATTAACGAGCGGTGTGCGAGGGTCTTGAACGTTCGTTGAGCTCACAAGGGTTCGCGAGAGAGCAAGGTATAGAAGAGAAAGGATGAAGGTAGTGAGCGGAAAGTCGAAGCGAGAGAGGGTCTCTATTCCTTGGCGATTATCGCACACTTGGCTGGGTCCAATCCACGCAGCAGCCGCGCCACTCTTCTCTACTTCCATCCTCTCACTTCTTCTTCTTCTTTCTCCTCTCCTCTCTTCTTTTCTTCTTCCCCCTTTTCTCATTTATCCCCCTTCTTTTAACTTTCTTTCATCTTCCTTGGAATCCCCTTCGCGCACCGCAGAAATCCAAACGATAGATAAATCAAAATCGCTTGCACGCTTCAATTCATCGACTTAGTCGACTTTTGTACACATTCTATATACATTATCGTCGCGACACGTTAAACTGTTTTCTGTTGTTTGCACACACTGATATTTCTCTATCGTTCTTGTTTAGAAATTCAATTTTCAAAAGATAAAAATAGTTACAGTAAAATCATGAGAATAAAAGTAAATATTGTAATTGTAAATGTAAAGCTATATCCACTGGGAAAATATCTAATGGAGCAGACAAGGCATCTCATGTCACCAACACACATTTAACCCAAGTCACTTTAGCAGTAACTAGCGACTGATCTGACTGACCCAACGACGTGACCTAACCACGACCTTATACGACCAAGATTTGTGGCACATCCGCGACACCCGGTTGCCTCAATTTACTGCGCATTACCTCGCCTTCCTCGTGTCTGTGTCTAACCATCACTGCTTATAACACATATCCCTCCCTTCTCAAAATCCAACACCCCCAAGCAGGGTGCATGACCTTCTCTTTATTCCACATACAACAGCTTAACTGACATTTCCTTGATCGAACGAGTAATAAACCTCTTTTTATGATGATTCACTTGCCGTAAATTTCATTTGAAAATCTATACCGGATATAGCAACTAAAATCACTTCAGTAAGATTTTCACTGAAATTCAGTTACATTTCACCGAAAATCAGTCGAGTTTTCATTATTATTAATGGGTAAAACAGAATAGCCAAATCTGCATTATCATTAAACGGTAAAACAGAACAGTCAAATCTGCTTTATCCTAAATCGGTAAAAAAGATGCCATTTTATATTACGCTTAACTTTTCAGAACTATTTGGAAATAATTGCAAAATCTATTAAATAAAAATGAAATTAGTTAAAATATTCTTGAATTGTTTTCTAAAATAGCAAATGGATTTAATTTAAAAATTCAATAACCCTGGAGAAAATTATTTATTAGCTGATTGACTTTTTAGAAAAGTTGGAAACAATTTTTCAAAACAGTATTTTTGAACTAATATATTTGTAATAACTTTAGAAAATGTATATAACATTGGAAATTGTGGATGCATTTTCTCAATTACCTTCATATCCCAGAGGTCCCTCAAAACGTCATCTCAAAAATATCAAAAGCATAGATAACGACTCTACACCCAAAAAAAAAAAAAAAAACTGCTGCTGCCATAGCTTTTTTTCCCAATCTCGGAAAGTTTTCGCAATTTTACGATTGTCATATTCCATCAGTTTTTCACATTCTTTTTTTCATTTTATCCACTGCAATTCAGTTTATTTTCGTAAAAAAATTTTAATTTTTCAAAACCTAATTCTGAATTTTTCTATTCTCTCCTCCGGTAAAAAACAATTTGTTGTAAATATTTTATTTAAATGGTTTTTTGTTTTTGTAAATAGAAAATATTTTTCATCAACTACAGGAATAATTTGTGCTCTTCACACGTTTATTGATAAAACGCATTTCTGATGGAAATAGAAAAAAAATGAGAGAAAAAAAAGGGATCTTTAGTATTCTGAAGCACAACTGTTTTTACCTCTCGTTCTTCTTTTTTTTTCTCCATCCCTGTTCTTTTTTTTTTTCCTTTTTATTCTTGGTCTCTAAACCCTCGGAATAGTTCGCTTGTTCGCGGTTCATCCTTTTCACTTTTCTTCTTTGTGTAACCCGTACAACGAAGCTAATCTAATTCCCACGTGTGAGTACGTAACCTTTCTCTTGATGTACCCAATTCACTGAATTTAGCACGAGTTAACTGAAATTCCTTACCTAAATTTAGTGAGGTAGAGCAATCGTACTTTGCACCTCTTTTACCATGTTCTTGAATCAGACACACCAACTGAATTGAACCACTACCCCAAAAAAAAGAAGAAGAAGAAGAAGAAGAAAAAACAGAAAAGAGAGGAAGAAGAAGCAAATGCAGCGAAACCTTCATTTTCCCTGATCTTTAAAGGTACATCCGCTTTTCTACGTGTCTCTAAGCAGCAAAATTCCACTTGGCATTCCGCATTCCCATCGTCTTTCTCTCGTTGGCTTTTTTCCTTCAACATTTTCCAATTCGTGTTTAAATAGATTGGTCACTTGAAAAAATAAAAGTTTACTTAGTATCTAGTGTAGAAAAAAAAGTCTTCATTTATAACGAAAATTTCAATTTGAAATTTCTAAAAATATAATGAAAAAAATACTTTTTTTTCCTAAAGATTTTGATTTTCAAAGCTTCCCCCCCTACCAACTGCTGGCATTGATTCGCGAAATACATTTTCATACATATATTGGAGAAAAAAAAAATTGAAACTCTGATGGAATATTTCAACCTTTAAAATTGCTTCTTGAAAATATTATATATATAATACCTCTCTATATGTAGCGAAACAAAATATCTACAAATCGTTCCCTTAAATTACACACTGAATGTGTTCAAATATAAACGACACACAAGAAATGAAGAAATCAAATTCATATATTGAATATAAGTAAAAATCTATACATCTGAATATAAGTAAAGTCGATACATAAAAAAAAAATATATATATATATAGAATCAGTCAAATTTATACATTGAATAAGTCAATGATTCACGCGTGAAATAGATTTGTCTAGACGTATTTTTGTAGAAAAATATTTGACTTTTCCCTTCTTGAGAAGTGCTTTCTAAGAGAGAGAAAGAGAAAGAGAGAGAGAGAGAGAGTTGCGAGTGAATACAAGTTTTTCTTTTCGTGTAGAATTCGATTTGTGCGAATGTTGGGAGTCGCAAAAATATCACATAGGACATTGCATACTCGGTAGTCTTGAAGTATTTCATTCTCTGATACCCTCTCGCAACTTTTGCTCTATCCCCTTCTTTCTTCCTTCTTTCTCTCTCTCTCTCTCTCTCCCTCTCAGCGCCTTCTTTCTTCCAAGTGCACTTGGATTTTCAACGTAATCGATTTCCGATTTTTGGAGTGGCTTCAATTTTTCACCGCCGAGTGAAAAATAACGGCAGAATAAGCCGTGCTTTTCTCCCCCTTTGAAAACCATCAAATATATCTATAGAGAGAGAGAAAGAGAGAGAGAGAGGGGGAGAGAAACGCGAAACTATATAGTGTTTCTGCAAGTTTTCCCGGACCACCAATTCTTGGCGCACAGCTCGTTTCCGCGTTTATCCCACTGTTCTCGTAACATTCGCATTCTATTTCTGTGGAAATGTTTTCTACAAAGTCGAATAGCATCAACGAGGGGCACAAAATCCTTATCTATTTAATAGATTACGTGAGGCTCTTTCCAGGTACAAAATCCTCCTCGATTTGCCAAAGTTCACAAATTACTAACACACGAAAAGAAATGAATTCGTAAATTTGATTTTTTGCAATTTAAATTTTTCCTACAGTAACTATAAATTTTTCTATGGAAACAAAAAATTCTTTGTCACAGCCAATTTTCTTTTTTTGCATGAAGTATTTTTTTTTGTCTTTAACTTTTGGTACACGAAATTAGAGAAGAGTCGGTTTGAAAATAAGTATTTTTTCTTTTTGTTTCTTAATGTAAAATTAAGAGTTTGGAGAAAAATCCTCGGTGACATTTTTCGAGTTCGTTACAATCAGAGTAATGGTCGTGAGGTAGCTATGGCGATGAGAAGAAAGAACGAGAAAGAGAAAAAAAAAAAACAAAAAACATGTTGCAAAAAATAGCTTTATTAAAAGGAACCTGAACACAACTCACGATAATAAAACGATCTTCTGCAATTCGGGATTGCTCCATTGTTCTTGTTAATGCACGCTCGAAAATTTCGCCTGATCCCTCGCCTTGCTATCGGTACTTGGAATTCCAATAGGGTACAAGCTGATTTAAAATGCTTTTGTGCCGTCGAGAAAAGGTGTAAATTCTCTCCGAATAAATAGCCAAAAGTTAAATAGATAGCAGAGAATACTTTTTTTCCCAATTCTTTCACAATTCAAACGTCACTAGAGCCTAAATTGGATAGGTAATGTTTCAGGAAGGTAGAAAATGCTTCACAGTGCAAAAAAAGACCTTGAAGCTGGTGGAAAACTTT